TCCTGCTGCATTTTATACCTAATGCTCCCAGGTTTTTAAAAGAAAAGCTGCTAGTGTCCAGACTTGGTTGAAAATCCTATAAAAACAAGATTATTATCACTATAATGTATCAAATTAGCAAACTTAGAGTAGTCTGGCACTCTTTGTAGTACTCTCTGTAGTATTTTCTGTAGTAAGTACCACAGTGCTCACAAAATGCTATTTTCAATATATTTTAATGATAACCTCATTTTCACAGGATGTTAAAACAAGCCTAGACAAAGTTTTTCTTGTTAATTTGCATTTTTCCAGCTAAATTTGCAAATCCTGTGTGCTCCCTGTAATCAATAGATGCTGGAGTACTCCCAACTTGCTACTTTAATAAGTTTAACTGTATTTTTTCAAGTGCTTGCAGTGAAGTTGGGAGCAGAGAGGATGCCCAGTTTCTCTTTTTGGGGTGTATTTATTGTTCATGTGACTCTGGCTGGGAAATCCTTCCCTGGAAATCCCAACAGCTGGGAAAGAGAGAGGAGCAGGGATCAGGAAGTGGGAATGGGAATTATCCGGGATGAGCTGTGGGAGGGATGAGGGGGATGGAAGCTGATCCCAAAATCTGGGATGGGTCCCGCAGGGATGGATGGATCCCGTTGGGATGGGTCAGGGATGGATGGATGGATCCTGCAGGGATGGATGGATGGATGGGTCCCCCAGGGATGGATGGATCCCGTTGGGATGGGTCAGGGATGGATGGATGGATCCCGCAGGGATGGATGGATCCCCCAGGGATGGGTCAGGGAGGGATGGATGGATCCCGCAGGGATGGGTCAGAGATGGATGGATGGATCCCGCGGGGATGGGTCCTGCAGGGAGGGATGGATCCCGCAGGGGTGGGTCAGGGAGGGATGGATGGATCCCGCAGGGATGGGTCAGAGATGGATGGATGGATCCCGCGGGGATGGGTCCTGCAGGGAGGGATGGATCCCGCAGGGGTGGGTCAGGGAGGGATGGATCCCACAGGGATGGATGGGTCCCCCAGGGATGGATGGATCCCGTGGGGATGGGGCGGGGAGGGATGGATGGATCCCGCGGGGATGGGTCAGGGATGGATCCCGCAGGGATGGATGGGTCCTGCAGGGATGGATGGATCCCGCAGGGATGGGTCAGGGATGGATGGATGGATCCCGCAGGGATTCTCCGCTCGGAGCACCCCGGGCTCGCCCCGCGGCTCCGGCGCTGTTGAGCGGGGCGGTGCCTCCCTCTAACGGCAGCGGAGCCCGGCCGGGAAACGGCACCGGCTGCAGGAGATCCCGGGAAACATCCCGGGCTAACCCCGCTCCGGGCCGGGCAGGAGCCAGAGGGACTCGGGAATGCTGCGGGCAGCGCTGGTGGCCCTGGGACAGCTCTGGGCTGATCCCCGCTGGGTTCTGCTCCGGCTCCTGGGAGCGCTCACCGCTGGAGGGCATCCGGGGGATCTGCAGGGAGGTTCTCCAGTGGGGATCTCCAGGGAAGCTCTCTAGGGGGGATCCCTAAGGAGGTTCTCCAGTGGGGATCTCCAGGGAAGCTCTCTAGGGGGGATCCCTAAGGAGGTTCTCCAGTGGGGATCTCCAGGGAAGCTCTCTAGGGGGGATCCCTAAGGAGGTTCTCCAGTGGGGATCTCCAGGGAAGCTCTCTAGGGGGGATCCCTAAGGAGGTTCTCCAAGGAATCTCTCCAGGGAATCTTTCCAAGAAGGGTCTCCAGGGGTGATCTCCAGGGAATCTCTCCAGGGAGGTTCTCCATGAAAGTTCTTCAGAGAATCTCTCCAGGGAAGGTCTCCATGGAATCTCTCCAGGGAGGGTCTCCATGGAAGTTCTTGCGGGAATCTCTCCAGGGAGGGTCTCCATAGAAGGTCTCCAGGGAATCTCTCCACAGAGGTTCTCCAGGGAAGCTCTCCAGGGAGGGTCTCCATGGAATCTCTCCAGGGAAGCTCTCCAGGGAGGGTCTCCATGGAATCTCTCCAGGGAGGATCTCCATGGAAGTTCTCCAGGGAAGCTCTCCAGGGAGGGTCTCCATGGAGTCTCTCCAGGGAATCTCTCCAGGGAGGGTCTCCATGGAATCTTCTCCAGGGAATCTTTCCAAGAAGGTTCTCCAGGGGTGATCTCCAGGGAATCTCTCCAGGGAGGTTCTCCATGAAAGTTCTTCAGAGAATCTCTCCAGGGAAGGTCTCCATGGAATCTCTCCAGGGAGGGTCTCCATGGAATCTCTCCAGGGAGGATCTCCATGGAAGGTCTCCAGGGAATCTCTCCACGGAGGTTCTCCAGGGAGGGTCTCCAGGGAAGCTCTCCAGGGAGGGTCTCCAGGGAGTCTCTCCAGGGAAGCTCTCCAGGGAGGATCTCCATGGAGTCTCTCCAGGGAAGCTCTCCAGGGAGGGTCTCCAGGGAGGGTCTCCAGGCAGCTCCCACTGGCTGGAGTTGCAGCACTCGGGCTGGGAAGGGGTCAGGGCTCTGGGACACCCCAGGATCAGGCCTGGGACAGCTGCTCCTCCTGATCCGAACAGACAGGATCTGAGGCAGGGGAATTCCTGAGAAGCAGAGCTGGTGCTGGTGCAGGCCAGAGGTGACAGAGCACAGTGAGTCCCAGCTGTCCTGCTGGATTTTCCCCCTTTTCTTTCCTTTTCCCGGTGCTTAGAGCAGCATCCAGGATCTCCCACAGCCAGGGAGTTTTTGTGTCATCCACTGCAAATTACCCAGGCAAAACTTCATTTTTCTTTAATTTGTCAGCTTGTGCAGCTTGGGTAAAACTGGGATCAATTAAAAACCATGGGACGTGTGAAAAGCCAGTTCTGGTGGAAAACACACAGCTCTGTAAGGCAGCTGGATAAAAATATCACTTCCAATAACCCCAAATTAAATGGGATCAAAGGGGAAATATTTTCTGCTGTAGTTGTTTGTTTAGTGTGGGATCTGGGGGTGTTTCCTTCTTTTAATCCTCAACTCAAAAGAGCAAGAAAAAATAGCAGCTTTTCTGTATTTCAAAGCTTTTTTATGTAAAATGTGTTATATTTTTAAATTAAATTAACCCCTTAAATCTAATTAGTAAAATAGGAAGAAACAGATTCTGAGGAATATTTGAGGTTTTTTTGTCATTGCTTTGATTCTGGAGTTAGACCTGCTTGAAAAAATCTCTTTAAGTTCATGTTCATGGTCAGGATTATGGATAAGCAATGAATCCATAAAAATTTACACTCAGAGATTATCCAAAAAATATTTAAAACATGTTTTTGTTTAATGGATCTTTCACAAGATATTATTGGTCATTTAATGCTTCTATTTCAGCGATTTTAAAACTCTTAGTAGAATAAATTTTGTCTTTAAGGAAAAAATGGGAATATTTTAGACAGAGCTCACAGGGAAGTTTTCCTTTCACCTGCTGTGTAGAATCATAGAATTCCGTTTCTTTTACTTTTACCTGATTCTCTGCTGTTTCTGATTATTGAGTGTGTGGTGTTTTGGGGTGGCATCGAGAGAATTCCAGCACATTTAATTAATTCACATTGTCCAGTGACATTCCAGCCTAATTCTACAGGAATTTACAGCTACCAAGCTGGGTGTGTGTATTTATACATGGGAGGAGAGCAGTAGGTGTAAATAGAGAATTGTGAAATACTGAATTATCCCTGAAGCATGATGATATTCCCAGTTCAACTGGGAAAGCTCCCCCCTGCCAAGGTGACAGGGCTGGAAATTGTGCCTGCTGCTGGAATCACCTTTTTATTAAAAACCAGCCCTAATCCAAGATTTAGTTCCTTTATTTCCACCCTAACAGGCTGAAAAGACTCACGGTGCACTGAGTTAGTATTGATTTTTTTTTTGTCTGAAGCCTCGGAGCTTTCTGACTCCATTATTTTTGATTTTCCTATGAAATACATATCCCTGCCCCTGACAGCTGACAAACAACAGCTGGAAGTCGTTTTATCTCCCCATAATGTGTTTGTCAAAACTGCCCTGCACTAATGGGCTCTGCTTCCTCCAGTCCATTTTCCCCCGTTAATGTCACTGATGTCATTGGCAGCTTTTAGTGATTTTTGCCCCTTCCCTAATTTGTCATTCCCATCACTTTGTGCAGGATCTGGGTGGGATCTGGAGCTGCCTGGGATTTGGTGAAACTGGAGCTGAGCTGTGGATTTGAAATCTCCTTTTCCTGCCTTTCTATGCCTGGCTTTAATCAGGATTCTTTATTTACCCTCAGACCAGGTGTATCCAAAACCTCAGTGAATTCTGATTCCCCCTCCTTTGATTTATTCCAAAAATCCTTGGGAATGTATTCTAAAGGAGAAGGTTTCAGCACCAAGGTGGCAGAACTTGTAAACACAAGTTTAAATGTAGAAAATTCTTTTTTTCCTTCCAAATCCCTCAAAAAATCAGGTTTGAAGTTGTATTTATGGATTTTGCTGTAGTGCAGCTCCTGTCACCTTAGAATTAAGGGATGGTTTGGGTTGGAAGGACCTTAAATCCTTCTCAGGGAAGGAGCAGGGACACCTCCCACTGTCCCAGGTGCTCCAGCCCCAGTGTCCAGCCTGGCCTTGGGCACTGCCAGGGATGCAGGGGCAGCCCCAGCTGCTCTGGCAATCCCAGCCCAGCCAGGAATTCCCAGTTCCCAATCTCCCACCCATCCCTGCCCTCTGGCAGTGGAGCCATTCCCTGGGTCCTGTCCCTCCATCCTTGTCCCCAGTCCCTCTGCAGCTCTCCTGGAGCCCCTTCAGGCTCTGAGCTCTCCTGGATCCTTCTCCTCCCCAGTTATCCCACAAATCCTTAGGTCAGCATTTGGAATGTTGCCACCCTCACTGCTGCTGTTTTTACTCAGAGCTTTCCCTTGTAACAGAAGATTTGGGGCTGCATTGCACGAGCAGCTTCTCCTGCTGTGTCCCAAAATCCCCTTCAGGCATGGCTGGGACAGGGCCTGGCTGCCAGCATTTCACCATCCTGGAGCCCCTTCAGAATGCCACAAATGCCATAAATGCCACAAATCTCACCTTGCTGTGCAGACCAAGCCACCCTCCTGGACCAGGTGAAGCGAGTGAAGGAGATCGAGGCCATCGAGAGCGACGCCTTCGTCCCACAGACCTTCAGGTCCAGCAAAGAAGTCAAAAAGGTACATTGTCCTTCCACAAGGGGCATTTTCCTTCCAAAAGGGACATTTTCCTTCCACAAGGGGCATTTTCAGTTCCTTTTTAGCTGCATTATCCTCTCAGAGCCAGGAGGAAGCTGTGCCATTAAAGATTTTCCCTCTATGAAGAAGCGTCAATGTTGAAAACTTTAAATCCACCTGAAATCCCACCAAAGACTCCTTGGTGGTCTCAGGGTGGCTTCAGGGAATTTAAATGTGGCAGAATTTAAAAAATCACCTGGTTTGAAGACTTTTGTTAGGAGAAGCAGAAGAATTGAAATCCCAAAGTAATCAGACATTTACTTTGTAATTAAAGTGGAGATGATTTTAATGCTGCTTAACTAAAGCCAGACCTGAGGTCTGTGTTTATTCCCTGAAAAGAAGCAGCTTGCTTTTCAATCAGCTTTCCAGAAACCAACAGGAGACATCCAGATCCCAGAATTTACCTGAATTTTGGCCAGCAGGTTGCAGGGAGCTGGTGTGGGATGTGTTCATTTTCCCACCTGGCAGTGAGTGTTTGGAATTATCCCTGCTTGTTTCCCCAGGAATGTGCAATTTGCCTTTCTAGACATCTCCAGGAATCTGGTGCAGCTTCCTCAAGAGGTGATCCAAAATCCCAGTGGTGCAGTTTTTCCAGCTCTCTCCCTATACCTTGCTTTTATCACTTCATGTCCTTTATCCAGCGTGTCCCACTGAGGATCCATGAGGATCCTTTCAGGGAAAACAGCCAAGTGCTGGGTTAAATTACTGCCACAGCTGGGAATATTGGGACAAAACACTCAAATTGTGTGTGTTTGTTTCTTTTTCAGTCAGCAGAACCTGCTGAGCCCCAGCAGGAGCCTGTGAATGTGGGAGCAGGAGCCCCTGAGGCAGCTGCTGCTGAGAAGGAGCCTCCAGCTGCCAGCATTCCCACTGCCATCAAGTACCAGGATGACAATTCCTTAGCACATCCAAATGTGAGTGTTTGTCCCATCTTTTTAGCCAGAATTGATCCCACCTTTAGCTTTAGAGCAGGGTTGTGTGACCCCACAGCTCCTCACAAAATCCCTGCTCTGGGATAAAGAGGATCCCACTCCTCCCACCACCCAGCAGAGCAAACCCACAGGAGGTTCAGCAGGAATTTTAGAGTATAAATGAATTTCATAAGAAAATATAATTAATGTAGCACGGGGAAGTTAAGATAAATAAAAATTCAGGACAAATTGGTTTCTGTAGTAGGAAACCTGGTTGAAAACTCAGAACTTGGCCGTTTTGCCAACTTGCAAAGTTTTAAACACAGGACAGACTTCAGATAATTTTAAATCATTGTGGCTAAACTTGAGCAAATCCCTTTGGAAGAGCTTTAGAGGGAAATAAAAGATTTTTAAAGAACTAGCAAGTTAAAAATGACTTGCAGTGAAGAAATCAGGGTGGGTTCTGTAGAATGGACACAGAGAGCAGAGATCAGGACATGAATTGCACTGGAGCCTTGCCTCTCCAGTGACTATGATCTTTAAGACCCCTCCCAAGCCAAACTATTTTAGGATTCCCTGAGCAGTCTCTGCTTTTATTGATGTTCTTGGCCCACCTTTGTCTTTGACCCCCTGAGCTTCTCCTGTGGGCAGTGGTGGGTGCTGCTGAGATGCTCACAGAGCCGGGCTGCTGACTGTGCCAACCTTCCTCCCGTGGCAGCTGTTCATGGAGAAGGCAGAGGCTGAGCACAGGTGGTTCCAGAGGCTGGTTGCTCTGCGCCAGGAGCGGCTGATGGGGAGCCCCGTGGCCTGACAGCTCCCAGGGCCAGCCCTGCCCCTGCAGCTCCCACTGCCAGCTCTGCTTGTCTCTCAGAGATTGGAGTGAGCTGGGCAGGCAGGGAGGGTTTCACCTGGATAACCAGGAATCTTCTGTCCTGCTCCACCTGGAGAATCAAGAATGGCCTGCCCTGCTCTGCCTGGATAACTGGGAATGTTCTCTCCTGGTTCCCCTGAATAACCAGGAGTGTTCTGTTCTGGTTCCTCTGAATAACCAGGAGTGTTCTGTCCTGGTTCCTCTGAATAACCAGGAGTGTTCTGTCCTGGTTCCCCTGGATAACCAGGAGTGTTCTGCTTTGATTCCTCTGAATAACCAGGAATGTCCTGCCTTGCTCTGCCTGGATAACTGGGAACGTTCTGTCCTGGTTCCTCTGAATAACCAGAAATGTTGTCTCCTGGTTCCCCTGGATAACCAGGAATGTTCTGTCCTGGTTCCCCTGGCTAACCAGGGATGTGCTGCCCTGCTCCCCCTGGCTAACCAGGAATGTTCTCTCTTGCTCCCCCTGGATAACCACGAATGTTCTCTCCTGGTTCCCCTGGATAACCAGGGATGTGCTGGCCTGGTTCTCCCCAGGCTCAGTGCTGGAGATGGGCAGGGCAGCACAGCCAGAGGCATTTCCTTTTTTTGGAGGGAATTCCTCAGGTGAAGAGCACCTGGAAACACATGAAATATCATTTTATCTCTCCCAATCCAGAAAATTGTGTAGAGCCAGGTAGGAGCTGGGAGGTGAGTGGGAACTGAGCCTGGGGGCTGGGACAGTGAGGAGCCATCCCAGGCCACCCCATGTCCTGCAGCTGGAGAGGATCCAGGATCCATCCCTTTATTCCTTCCTGCTGTGCAACCCTGAACATCTGGGCAGGGAATCCTCTCCCTGGATGTGCTCATCCCTCTGCTCCCACTGCCCCACTCTGGTGGAAAATGCTCCACGTTTCCTTGAGCATCTGCCACTACTGCACCTCCAAGTGGGGAATTGTATCAGCCTCATCACCTCTGTAATTGCCAAATGATGGAATGACCACACACCTGCTTCTGGGCAGTGCCTGTTCCCAGCCCGTGGAGCTCCCTTGGCCCAGCTGGGACTCTCAAATAATCAAAGTTTAGTCTGAACATCTGAATTTAGCCTGGATGAGCTTCCACAAAAATCTGCCCATCATCCATCTAAGTGCAGGAAATCAACCAAGTCAAATCAATAAAACACAAAAGTGTTTCTTCAGCAAAGCTGGGGGGAAATGTCACATCAGGAGAGGGGAAAACTGAGCCCACCCCTGGCTGTGCTCCCTGGAGCTGCCCTGCATCAGCATTCCCCTGGGAAGCTGCTTCTTGGGGTTGTTCTCCTGCTTCTCAGATCTGTGGTGATAAAAAGTGGAGGCTGACTCTGCAAATGGACTTGGGTTGTTTTATTTTTTATTTTAGATCCTGGGTGGAAAAGGAAAATGTATTGAATTTGCATTCTGACACATTTTTACTTCCTTGATGAAGTGTTAGTTTGACTTTGTCCTGCATCAAGATATTCCAAGACCTTGTCTGCAGGAGAAAGTGGGAAAAATTTTGTTTCCCTTGTTTCATTTCAGCATTTTAAATGGTAATATTTGTCATTGCTGCATTTTATCGTAACTTTTATGTTTCTTTCATAGAAAATAAAAACTGTTTGATGTCCATGGAAGGTCCAGGTGTAAATTCCTCTTTTCACGCATTGTGTTGGATAAGTTTGGTGCTTTTCTTGGATGTAAAATGATCCTTTTTATTTGCAGCCCTGTAGAATATTAGAAAACTTCACAATAGGCTGTAAATAGATTTAAAGTAGAGCTCGTTTATTTATTGTTGTTTATTAATCAACATCTAAATCTGCTGGAGGAGAGTTGGGAGCAAGAGCTGGAAAGAAAATGGAAATAACATTTAGATCATTTAGATAATTTAAATAAATCAAAATCAATAAATTGAATTAAGTAAATTAAGTTAATACATTTTAAAATGTTTAGATAACATTTAGGTAATTCAAATAACATTTGGAAAATTTAGCTGAATGGAAAATGTACTGAAATATTCCGAACACCACTGGAAACATGGAGCAAATCAGGAGAAAGTTGATTTTTATCATTCCAGTAGCAGCTCAGTGATCAGAATATCCATGAACTCCTCAGGATCGTGCACTTTTCATGGAATAACAACTTGGGTGTTGCCTCAGGGGGTTCACTGAAGGGGATTTTCCTGGTTTCCTACCCTGGCACATCCCTGGTGTGGAGCTGGTGCCTGGATGGCAGCGGTGCCAGGGTCGTGCCAGCCTGCAGGGGCATTCCAGAGCCCCAGCACTCCAGGTGGGTTTGACTCTTCCCACGGCTCCTGCTCTGCCCCTGGAGGGACACAGAGCTGCAGCAGATCCCGCTGGGACACGCTTTGGGATCAGCTCCTCATTTCCCTGCCTTGGAACAGCAGCAGGAATCGGCTCTGCTGGGGTTGGAAGTTACTGCTGGAATTGTTTTACCCTGGGCACACGCTTTGGGATCAGCTCCTCATTTCCCTGCCTTGGAACAGCAGCAGCAGCAGGAGTCAGCTCTGCTGGGGCTGGAAGTTACTGCTGGAATTGTTTTATCCTGGGGCACGTTAGGAGGGAAATGTCCAAGGAAATGTCCAAGGAAATGTCCAAGGAAATGTGCTCTCCACATTCCATGGGTGGGGCCTTTTTCCCTGAGGAAGAGGGAGGATGTGTGACCTCAACCAAATGAATTCATGTCAGCACCTGGCCAAAAACCCCTTAAATGTGGGCAGATCATCTCCAGCAGCCTGGATGAATGCACTGCTGGCTCCAGCTTCTCCTGATCCAGTAATGCCACTGTTCTTAATCTCCTAAATGTTAACCTGTGACAAAAATCCTGGTTTTTAGTTCCTGTCATTTTCAGTTCTGATGTTCTCACATTTAGGATTTTCCTATAGAAAGTTCATTTTTCCTGGTATTTCCCAGTTTGCTGCTGGTGAAAGGGAGCAGATTCCTGCAGAGGAAGGGACAGAAGCAGCTGTGTCAGTTTTCCCTGTAGAACTCAGGATTTTGGCTGTGTTTGGCAGCCTGCAGGGACATGGCTTTGTCACCCAGGACTCTGTGATGCTCACAGTTCCTGTTAATGCCAAACTGCCTGAGCTGTGGAAGATGAAGCTGGAACTGGAGCTTCTCTGGCCCCTGGGAGTCAGCAGAGCCCTCTCCCCCAGGAATTCCAGCAGCAAACTCGTTCCCAGAGCCTGCAGAGCAGCCACCCTCCATTCCCATCAGGAATGGTCCCTGCTCCTCATCCTCAGCAGCTCCAGCACTGCAGGTGAGGGAAAACTGCCCGGAAGGGCCTGGGGTGGGTTTTAAGTGGTTGTCATTGTTGTTGGTGCATTATTTTAGGAGGATTTTGCTGCTCAAATGATGCTGTCAAAGAAAACCCTCCTGGCCAGGAGATCAAGTGTTGCCCCTGCTGCTCCAGTCACTCCAGGAGGGCAGCCCTGGGTGATGCCAGGGCCTTGTCCCAGCCGTAACCCAAAACCAGCCCTCTGCATGATGACAGTTTTCCATTTGTCAGGTTACAAGGAGGGAGCTATTTTTAGTGGGGATCCTTGAACTCCAGAAACCTTTGTGAGGAGGGATCAGCTGGGACCTGGGGCTGGAGGGGGCTGGGGAGGCTCCTCAGCTTGAACATGACACAAAACCCTAAAACCACAACTAGCCAGGATTGAAAACACTCCCCTCTTGTAGTCTGGACTCGGGGCAGCATTGCCTGGTTTGTTTCTCCCAGTTTGGACTCAGGGCAGCACTGCCAGGGCCTGGAGGGGCTCCAGGAGAGCTCAGAGGGACTGGGGACAAGGATGGAGGGACAGGACCCAGGGAATGGCTCCACTGCCAGAGGGCAGGGATGGGTGGGAGATTGGGAACTGGGAATTCCTGGCTGGGCTGGGATTGCCAGAGCAGCTGGGGCTGCCCCTGGATCCCTGGCAGTGCCCAAGGCCAGGCTGGACACTGGGGCTGGAGCACCTGGGGCAGGGGGAGGTGTCCCTGCCATGGATGGGATGGGAATTAAATGATCTTTGAGTTCCTTCCCACCCAAAGCATTCCATGATTCTCTGATTCTGTCCCAGTGAATTTAACAGTATTTTGTTATAAATTCTTGTTGTCTTATTTCAGAACTTGTACAAATTCCTGAACTGGGCAACTGGGAGCTGAAGAGATAGTTAAATCAAATATTAATTTCCATGTTCTTACACATCTCCCTCCAGTCCTTGCTTTTATCTGACATTTACCAACAATTAATCACCAGCTGCCTTGGCAGAAGCTGATGTCACCTATGGACTGAAATCAGCTGTGGAACAGCACAGTCCAGAGCCTTTCCCACTAAAAATACATCTAAACCTCTGGAAAGTGCAGAGCAGCTCTGAGCCCACCTGGAAAGGAGCAGCTGGAGGAGTGAGGACCCCTCATTTCTGCCAGTCCGTGGGAAATGGAAACAGGAGCTGCTGGGGATGGAGCCCTGCTGGTCTGAGCCCTCTCGGGTTTCCTTCAACCTTGCTGCTGACATTGCTGGGCACAGAAGGCAGCAGGGCCCCCAGGTGCTCCCAAAATTGTTGGAACCCCCCCTATTTTTACTGATTCTGCTGTTTCTCACTAGCTGGGTAAGCAGAGCTGAATGTTTGGAAGTTTGGGGCTGCAAGAAGTGTAATTTAGAAGTCATTGTGTTTTAAATGAAAGCTGGGTTCTTCTCGAGTGAGCAGTGAAAGCTCTCCTGGCTGATGAGAGCTGACAATTTATCCTTGCCCTCCCTGAGAAATCAGCCAGAACCTGAGCTGGGAACTCGATGTTGTGATAACTTATACGCTCAGTTTGTCCAGGACTAATTGGAACATGGAATTAATGGGATCTGCTGAGGTAGCAGGAGGAATTTTTAGCTGCAGCCACAAGCAGCCTGAGGCAGGAGAGCCCTTTGGAACAAACAGCGTGGCCTGAACAGCTTTAAACAGGGGCTGGACCTGGTGCCAGCCCCGGGAAATCCTGAAGAGGCCTCCAGGGATCCATCCCAGCTACTCCAGCCTGCAATCCCTGCAGGAATTGGTGCTTTGTGCTCACGCTGGTGTCTTACCTTGGTCTTTGTACCAATTCCCAGCTTCCTCAAGGAAACTCACCCAAAATGCCATTTTTTTGCCACTTTGCTGAGGCTTTATGGGCACTGAAGGCTCAGGACAGCCGCGGCACACCCCGAGGGTCCCCCCTGCTCCCCCAGGGCATCTGCAGTGTTTATTAGCGCAGCCTTAATTGCCAGTCCCTAATTTGTGTGCGGAGGGAGCTGGGCTGCAGGGAGCTATAAAAGGAAGGTCATCAGCAGCCTGCACGAGCTGCTGACAGCTCTATTCATAGCCCAGCCCAGCACCCAAAATGTGTTTCTTCCCCTTTTTTGGTGCTGCAAGTTCAGGGTTGGGAGTTCCTCCTGCAGCCTCTAAGTGACTCCTTTTATCAGCTGCAGACACACAAGGGCAGCTTTTTAGGGATATTTCCTAATTATACACAAAGAGAGGACATGGGGAGGTTTTCTGTTGGGTGGGAAATGAAAAAAATTGGAATAATAGTAAAAGAAATTCCATTTTTTTCTATAGAAAGGAGGAATTATCTTTCCCTGGTTTGCATCTGATATTATAGAGGGTTCAGCTTGTCCAGGTAAGGCTGACAGCACAGTCCTGAACAGGTATTTTATATTTCATCAGAACAAAACCACTTCTGGTCAACACTTGGCTCTGATTGCTCCATTTCCCTCGTTAGCATAATTAATTACCCAACTTTTAAACCTTGTCAGATGTAGCATCTTCAGAGGAGACTCACAGGATTCAGACTGGATTTCAACAGAAAAATCTGCTGATAATGAACCAAGGAGCATTCTTTTCTCCTTTTCTTTTCTTTTCTTTTCTTTTCTTTTCTTTTCTTTTCTTTTCTTTTCTTTTCTTTTCTTTTCTTTTCTTTTCTTTTCTTTTCTTTCTTGACCAGGTATTTCCTTTGAAATTTGCTGTTTCATTTCCACCTGTATTTCTGTTTTAAAGAAGGGAACCTCGTCATTTAGTTCGAATAATTAATGAATTTCAGTCTGGCCAGCAGAGTTGTGTCCAGCTCTGGCTCCAGTTCTCCCAGCCCAGTCTGGCACTTTTCCCATTCAAACACGTGCAGGAATGCAGTTTTCACCTCCAAGTGTTAAAGCATCCCTGCTGCTTCAAAATAATCCTTTGGATTATTAGAGGAATTGGAGTGGATGATTTCCCAGAAAGGCAGAAATATTCCTGTGGTTTTCAGCAGTTGCACCAAGTGTTTCCCACAGATACTGCAGCCTCCCTCTGAGGGAGGTTTGCTGGGGGTTCCTTTCTCTGCTTCTGCTGAAACCAAACTCCTTTTACTGTAACCCAGGGCAGGGAGGGGACAAGGAGCTGCCACGGAGCCTGGGGAAGGGGACGTGCCCTGGAGCCCTGTGCAGCCACTGGAGCATCCCGGGGCCTGCTCGTCCCAGTCTCCAAGTGTTAAAGCATCCCTGCTGCTTCAAAATAATCCTTTGGATTATTAGAGGAATTGGAGTGGATGATTTCCCAGAAAGGCAGAAATATTCCTGTGGTTTTCAGCAGTTGCACCAAGTGTTTCCCACAGATTTTATATATTTTATATAT